GAGAAGTAAATATTTTAGGAAATGTAATGCAGTTAAGTCAGAAATTGTGACTTAAGTTCTAAGCTCCATTAATAAAGATAATTTTTGATTCTTGGGTATTTGAGGGCCTGTTTCAATTTTTTTATTTACTGTTCTATTTTTTCTTTTTTTTTTTTTTTTTTGCGGTACGCGGGCCTCTCACTGCTGTGGCCTCTCCCGTTGCGGAGCACAGGCTCCGGACGCGCAGGCTCAGCGGCCGTGGCTCACGGGCCCAGCCGCTCCGCGGCATGTGGGATCTCGCCGGACCGGGGCACGAACCCGTGTCCCCTGCATCGGCAGGCGGACTCTCACCCACTGCGCCACCAGGGAAGCCCTATTTTTTCTTTAAGTGTAACTCTGAATAAATAAAATTGTGTAAATGAAGTGAAGTCTTAGTGCCACTATGTATTTGATGAACAAATTTAAGAAATTGATTTTCACCATCATAATTTTTAACAGAAGTCTTAACCCTAATGCTCTTGTGAGTGTGATTGTCCTCTATGGAAGATTAGAAGTTGTGTGTCTTATTTCTACAGTAGGAACATACAACATATATGCAGTTTTCAAGTCTCCACAGAGTTGAAAAGCCAACGTGGGTACTCTAATTTGAAACGTGTATGGTGTGGGCCTAAGGTGTTTTTTAATCTTTCATCTCTCTCTTTTTTTTTTTCTTTAACATCTTTATTGGAGTATAATTGCTTTACAATGTTGTGTTAGTTTCTGCTGTATAACAAAGTAAATCAGCTATATGCTATACGTATATCCCCATATCCCCTCCCTCTTGCGTCTCTCTCCCACCCTCCTTATCCCACCCCTCTAGGTGGTCTCAAAGCACCGATCTGATCTCCCTGTGCTATGCAGCTGCTTCCCACTAGCTATCCATTTTACATTTGGTAGTATATATATATGTCCATGCCACTCTCTCACTTCGTCCCAGCTTACCCTTCTGCCTCCCCGTGTGCTCAATTTCATTCTCTGCATCTTTGTCTTTATTCCTGTCCTGCCCCTAGGTTCATGAGAACCTTTTTTTTTTTAGATTCCATATATATATGGGTTAACGTACGGTATTTATTTTTCTCTTTCTGACTTACTTCACTCTGTATGAAAGACTCTAGGTCCATCCACCTGACTACAAATATCTCAATTTCGTTTCTTTTTATGGCTGAGTAATATTCCATTGTAAATATGTGCCACATCTTCTTTATCCATTCATCTGTCGATGGACACTTAGGTTGCTTCCATGTCCTGGCTAATGTAAATAGTGCTACAGTGAACATTGTGGTACATATCTCTTTTTGAATTACGGTTTTCTCAGGATATATGCCCAGTACTGGGATTGCTGGGTCGTATGGTAGTTCTATTTTTAGTTTTTTAAGGAACCTCCATACTGTTCTCCATAGTGGCTGTATCAGTTTACATTCCCACCAACAGTGCAAGAGGGCTCCCTTTTCTCCACACCCTCTCCAGCATTTATTGTTTGTAGATTTTTTGATGATGGCCATTCTGACCGGTGTGAGGTGATACCTCATTGTAGTTTTGATTTGCATTTCTCTAATGATTAGTGATGTTGAGCATCTTTTCATGTGTTTGTTGGCAATCTGTATATCTTCTTTGGAGAAATGTCTGTTTAGGTCTTCTGCCCATTTTTGGACTGGGTTGTTTTTCTGATATTGAGCTGCATGAGCTGCTTGTATATTTTGGAGATTAATCCTTTGTCAGTTGTTTCGTTTGCAAATATTTTCTTCTATTTTGAAGGTTTTCTTTTCGTCTTGTTGATGGTTTCCTTTGCTGTGCAAAAGCTTTTAAGTTTCATTAGATCCCATTTGTTTATTTTTGTTTTTATTTCCATTTCTCTAGGGGATAGGTCAAAAAGGATCTTGCCATGATTTATGTCATAAAGTATTCTGCCTAAGTTTTCCTGTAAGAGTTTTATAGTATCTGGCCTTACATTTAGGTCTTTAATCAATTTTGAGTTTATTTTGGTATATGGTGTTAGGAAGTGTTCTAATTTCATTCTTTTACATGTAGCTGTCCAGTTTTCCCAGCACCACTTATTGAAGAGGCTGTCTTTCCTCCATTGTATACTCTTGCCTCCTTTATCAAAGATAAAGCGACGGGCTTCCTTGGTGGCGCAGTGGATGAGAGTCCGCCTGCTGATGCAGGGGACACGGGTTCGTGCCCTGGTCTGGGAGGATCCCACATGCCACTGAGCGGCTGGGCCTGTGAGCCATGGCCGCTGAGCCTGAGTGTCTGGAGACTGTGCTCCGCAGCGGGAGACGCCACAACAGTGAGAGGCCTGTGTACTGCAAAAAAAAAAAAAAAATTAAATATCACAATTTGTATGGAAACACAAAAGGCCCCAAATAGCCAAAGCAATCTTGAAAAAGAAAAATGGAGCTGGAGGAATCAGACTCCCTGACTTCAGACTATACTACAAAGCTACAGTAATCAAGACAGTATGGTACTGGCACAAAAACAGAAATACAGATCAATGGAACAGGATAGAAAGCCCAGAGATAAACCCACGCACATATGGTCGCTTTATCTTTTTTTTTGTTTTTGTTTTTGTTTTCTTTCTGCGGTACGGGTACGCGGGCCTCTCACTGTTGTGGCCTCTCCCGTTGCGGAGCACAGGCTCCGGACACGCAGGCTCAGCGGCCGTGGTTCACGGGCCCAGCCGCTCTGCGGCATGTAGCATCTTCCTGGACCGGGGCACGAACCTGTGTCCCCTGCATCGGCAGGCGGACTCTCACCCACTGCGCCACCAGGGAAGCCCCAAATTGTGAAATTTTTTGATGCAGGAGGGAGGAGATATGGGGATATATGTATATGTATAGCTGATTCACTTTATTATAAAGCAGAAACTAACACACCACTGTAAAGCAATTGTACTCCAATAAAGATGTTATAAAAAAAAAACAGCCGGGCTTCCCTGGTGGCGCAGTGGTTGAGAGTCCGCCTGCCGATGCAGGGGACACCGGTTCATGCCCTGGTCCGGGAAGATCCCACATGCTATGGAACGGCTAGGCCCGTGAGGCATGGCTGCTGAGCCTGCGCATCTGGAGCCTGTGCTCCACAACGGGAGAGGCCACAACAGTGAGAGGCGCCCGTACCGCAAAAAAAAAAAAAAAGGCTTACCCATGGGGGGCGGGGTTTAGGTGGGGGGGGGAACTTAGGCAGGGATGGGGCTTTGGGTGGGGCGGGACCTAGGTGGGTGGGGGGCGACGTTCAAGCATGGGGCGGGGCCTCTGCTTAGGACCTGCGGAAGGTGGGGAGGCAGGACGTGGAAAGGAGGGCCTCTGTAGTGTGGGGTTCCCGAGTTTGGAGGTAGGGCCCTGAGTGAGGGTGTTCGGGTGGGGTTTAGGCTCAGCTCATTGGAGGGGGTCTCCAAATGTAGAGGTAGGGCCCTGGGTGGGGTGTAGGGGCGGGGCTTGGGCTCTGCACGGTAAGAGGAAGGCTCCAAGGGCAGAGGGTTAGGCCCAGGAGCCCAACAGGCTTCCTGGTGCCTAAGTGGACAGGGAAGGCACTGGCCCCCTTCCCTTCTGTTCCTTCATGCCCCCCACCACCGTCTTCCCCAGGGTCTCCCCCGTGGCCACTGGACCCCTAACTGTGGGTGCGTCCCTCTGGATGTAGGAACTCCTCCCCTCCCCCTGCTACCCCTCAGGGGTGCTGGTCCCAGAGGCCTGGCCTTTACTTTTGCTCCCCCTTCCCTCCCTCCCACTCCTTCAGGACCCTCGTGGCTGGAGGGGCCTCTGTCAGCAGAGGATCAGTCCCGGGATCTCAGCAGGTTCCTAGGGGTCCAAGTAGGCAGGGGAAACCTAGCCATGCTCCCTTTTCATCCTCTGCCCTCCCAATGGTTCCCCAATTTCCCACTTCTGGCTTGGGATCCCTTCCCCTCCCCCAGCAGCCCCTCAGGGGCGCCGGTCCCACCCCACCTCCACTTCTCCTCCCCCTTCACTCCCCCCGCACCCCATGTCCTACCCCGTCACTGGGGGTTCCTCCCATCCCCTTAAGTGTCCGTGATCCCCCACCAGTACCTGGTAGGTGCCCTAGTTGTGAGGAGACAGGAATTCCGCGTCCTCCTAGTATGCCATCTTGACTCCCTCTTTCATCTCTTTTAAGGATCAAATATCATTAGAAAAATAAGCCATGGGCATTACATACGTGGTCTGGTGAAATTCAATATTCACAGTGACAATTCAGAATATGAGCTCCTTAGGGGAAAGTTAACCCCACCACTCTAACTTTGCATCGAAATATCTTAAAGTGTGCCATTGGTTTTATGAAAAGGTTTTGATCTACACTTCAAGTTTAAGTTCAAAAGAAAAGCTACATTTTAAAGTGTATTCCTTTTCTGGGTATATTTACTTTGAACTATAGCATATAGTTTTTCTCATAAATCTAACCTGCCACTATCTGTTTTTAAGACTTTGTAAACTTCAAGTGGTTATGATGTGTGAAGTTTGGATTAAACTAAAATTTTTAGAAAACACATGTTATATATTTTGATTGTTTTGAATTTTAACATGGGCCAGTCAAAAAGTTGAATGTCTCTCAAAGTAATATACTGTACTCTGTTACTACAAGAAATCACAGAAAATTGCCCTCTCCCATCATGTTAACAATAGACAAATGAAGCAGTTGTTCTCATTCTTAAATGTAGTGTTTGAAAAACGTGCACAATTTAATGAAAATGTCTCTACTCATAAAACTTAAAATGCTCACACATGGAAAAAGTCATAACGTTTTGGCAAATATTGCTTTGTTAGGAATGTGAGTGAGGTATACCTGCTTCATAACTAGAATTCTATATAAATGGCATGAAACTGTGGGGAAAAGCCAACAGAAAAGAAAACTCTGACAAAGGATGAGTTAATACTCTTAAAAAATGCAGATAGTTCTTACCCAAATATACTTTTTCTTTGACAAGGAAGAATTATAACATATACCCCTCTTCATCCCTTCTTTTTTTTTTTTTCCAGGTGTAATTCTTGGATCATCATTTCTACTCAGTGTAAATGATGTTCTCCTTAAAACAAGTCTCAAAGAAAGAAGTCGGATTCTGATAGGACCATGTTGTGCTACTGCCAATCTGGAAGCTAAATGGTGTAAACACAGTGGCAATCCAGGCCCAGAACAGTCCATACCAAAAATATCCATTGATTTAAGAGGAGGTCTGCTGCAGGTCTGTTGGGATTGGCCCCATTTTTCTCATAAGTTTTAAACTAGTCTTTGTTCATTGTTTGAACTGTTTCATTAAATTTTAAATCTTGGTGTGGTAAGAAAAGGGTATTGTCAGATTGCTGTTTTACTAAACTTTTTTAACAGCTTTATTGAGATATAATTCACAAACCATACAGTTCACCTAATTAAAGAATACGATTCAGTGGTTTTTTACTATATTCACAGTCGTGTGGTCATCACAACAATCCATTTTAAAACATTTTCACACACCCACCTCCAAAACCCTTTATCCATTAGCATTCACTCCCCATTATCCTCCAATTCCCTCTCCAGAACTAGGCAACCACTAACTATTTCCTGTCTCTATATATTTGACTTTTCTGGACATTTCATGTAAATGGAATCATATGAAATGTGGTCTTTTGTGAATGGCTTCTTTCACTTAGCATAATGTTTTCAAGGTTTTCAAGGTTCATTCATGTTTTTGCAGGTGCCACTGCTTTATTCCTTTTTATGACCAAATAATACTCCATTGTATGGATATACCTCATTTTATTTATCCATTCAGCAATTAATGGTTGTTCAGATTCTTTCCACTTTTAGCTATTATGAGCAATGCTGCTATGAACATTTGTGTACAAGTTTTGTGTGGACATGTTTGGAATTTCTGAGTCAATAAACTTTTTTCTATGTGTAGACTTTTCTAATTACAAAGTAGTCAGCCTGTCTCAAGCAGTGTCATCAGCAATAATTTAAGAACCATTTCCTAATGACAGGTCGTTAGCTATTATGATGTCTGATGGCTAACATAATATATAACCTTACATTGCAACCTTTTATGCATTTGATTTGCAGCCAAGTATTGAATGTGTGAGGGTATCCAATTTATTTCTTGATAATTTCTATTTGGATAGAATGTGAATGTGTTCTTTTTTTTTTTAACATCTTTATTGGAGTATAATTGCTTTACAATGTTGTGTTAGTTTCTGCTGTATAACAAAGTGAATCAGCTAAATGCATACATATATCCCCATGTCCCCTCCCTCTTGCGCCTCCCTCCCACCCTCCCTATCCCACCCCTCTAGGTGGGCACAAAGCACTGAGCTGATCTCCCTGTGCTATGCAGCTGCTTCCCCCTACCTGTCTATTTTACATTTGGTAGTATATATACGTCAATGCCACTCTCTCACTTCGTCGCACCTTACCCTTCCCCCTCCCCATGTCCTCAAGTCCATTCTCTACATCTGCGTCTTTATTCCTGTCCTGCCCCTAGGTTTGTCAAAACCATTTTTTTTTTAGATTCCATATATATGTGTTAGCGTACGGTATTTGTGTTTCTCTTTCTGACTTACTTCACTTTGTATGACAGACTCTAGGTCCATCCACCTCACTATAAATAACTCACTTTCGTTTCTTTTTATGGCTGAGTAATATTCCATTGTATATATGTGTCACATCTTCTTCATCCATTCATCTGTTGATGGACACTTAGGTTGCTTCCAAGTTCTGGCTATTGTAAATAGAGCTGCAATGAACATTCTGGTACATGACTCTTTTTGAATTATGGTTTTCTCAGGGTATGTATGTCCAGTAGTGGGATTGCTGGGTCGTGTGGTAGTTCCATTTTTAGTTTTTTAAGGAACCTCCATACTGTTCTCCATAGTGGCTGTATCAATTTACATTCCCACCAACAGTGCAAGAGGGTTCCCTTTTCTCCACACGCTCTCCAGCATTTATTATTTGTAGATTTTCTGATGATGGCCATTCTGACCCGTGTGAGGTGATACCTCATTGTAGTTTTGATTTGCATTTCTTTAATGATTAGTGATGTTGAGCATCTTTTCATGTGTTTGTTGGCAATCTGTACATCTTCTTTGGAGAAATGTCTGTTTAGGTCTTCTGCCCATTTTTGGACTGGGTTGTTTGTTTTTTTGATATTGAGCTGCATGAGCTGCTTGTATATTTTGGAGGTTAATCCTTTGTCAGTTACTTCATTTGCAAATATTTTCTCCCATTCTGAGGGTTGTCATTTCATCTTGTTTATGGTTTTCATTGCTGTGCAAAAGCTTTAAGTTTCATTAGATCCCATTTGTTTACTTTTGTTTTTATTGCAATTTCTCTAGGAGGTGGTTCAAAAAGGATCTTGCTGTGATTTATGTCAGCGTGTTCTGCCTATGTTTTCCTCTAAGAGTTTTATAGTGTCTGACCCTACATTTAGGTCTTTAATCCATTTTGAGTTTATTTTTGTGTATGGTGTTAGGGAGTGTTCTAATTTGATTCTTTTACGTGTAGCTCCCCAGTTTTCCTGGCACCACTTATTGAACAGGCTGTCTTTTCTCCATTGTATATTCTTGCCTCCATTGTCATAGATTAGATGACCATAGGTGCATGGGTTTATCTCTGGGCTTTCTATCCTGTTCCGTTGATCTATATTTCTGTTTTTGTGCCAGTACCATACTGTCTTGATTACTGTAGCTTTGTAGTATAGTCTGAAGTCCAAGAGCCTGATTCCTCCAGCTCTGTTTTTCTTTCTCAAGACTGCTTTGGCTATTCGGGGTCTTTTGTGTTTCCATACAAATTGTGAAAGTTTTTGTTCTAGTTCTGTGAAAAATGCCATTGGTAGTTTGTTTTTTGTTGGGTTTTTTTTCCCATTTTGACTTTTAATTGTAATATTCTCCTTTATAGCCAAAGCAGATGTCACCGTTAATGATGTTAGTGTTTCTCTAGGTATGAGAAGATGCAAGAATTTCGGCTCAAAAAATCTTCTCCTGAAAATATCTAACTGTCTGAAGGCCTGTTCTGCCAGTTTTTCCCAGAGAACAGACTGCCTCATTCCTGATGTCAACTGTGAACTCCTTTCAGGGGGTATTGAAGGTCAGCAGCTGCAGTGGCTCATGATTTAATCTTTGTAGAGACAGACAGCAAGTGCCAATGGCAAGTGCTGCTTTCCAGTCAGCAGGGCCCCTTCATGGTCATAAATTTGACCATGGTTTGGGGGGGCATTTCATGACCATTTCAATCCATGGGGCTAGGAATGCTCATTCCAAAGCCTGGAAAAGAGTTTTCTGATAGGCTACTCAATGTGCTCTTACTGGACTAGGCCACAGGAGTAGCCAAAAAGTCTCTGGACCACCTGTCTTACTAGTCTCTTACAGTCCAGGAAAATATTCCCTCTTGTTGCTTCTTCCCATATCTAGAGTTACACTATTACCATCATTGATCTTACATGGAACCATATATCATCATTTTATGACAGGCTTAGTCACACATTTGGTAATGTAAGAAACAACAATTTTGTAAAACAGGTGAAATACAAATAACATAGCTAGCAGTAGTAGTGAAGTCATAAGTAAGAATTAAGCAAGCTTCCATTAGGTGTGGCCCAGTATATCCCAGGTTGTCTGACTTAGTCTGTTCTGTACCAATCCTTATCTTTAAGGTAAATTTTATATTGGCACTGTCCATAAGGCACCCAGCCCAGTTTCCTAGTGTTACTAGACTGATTATCCTTACTATGATTTAATTGTTCCCAACATAGAGGAGCCTTTAAACTTAAATTACCATGGCCTGGTGTTAACTACATAAATCCATCCCATAATTGTGGGAGGTCTTATTCCTTGGCTGAAATTTTGCTTGTTGCTATGATTGAGCCTGAGTAATAAAGAAAAATTTATGGCCAGAGTCAGAGTAGGATCATTAATTGGCTAGGTGAGGGGATCCCACCTAGTAATATTAATAGTGGCCTAAATAGGACTATAATTTCTCTCTTCTAGAATAAATTTCCTAAGAGCCAACCAGTTAGAGCCTTGGAGTAGAGAAATCCACCAAGGTAACCCAGAAGTACTAGACACAGGTAATTGGCCACAAACCCAACAACTGGATTGATTTTTAAAACTAGCATAGGAAAAAAAAAAAAAAAAAAAAACTAGCATAGGATCGTGCCCATGATAGGAAAACATTTGATTCATATGCAAGGGTCCAAGAAGTCAAGAAAACATTATAAATGATCATACGAGTTAGGTCCAGGATCTTGGGCAATCTGTCTACTTCTGATGTCGTCTTCTTCTCATCCTAGTATGAGTGTAGTTTCTCTTTTGTTTGAGCATTGTTTTAAGGTGATTTTGAGGTCAGCCACACTCTCCATAGGCCAGTCCACTGCAGGGGCCCTTTGTGAGTGGAGATTAATCCAGGAGTCATTCCCTTCAGTTTCACTGTTCATCAGCTAGTTAAGAGTACCTGATAAGTGTCCTTCCGTCCAGGTTGGAGATAGTCTTTAAATTACGTCTGTTTCAGCATGCACAATCTCCTAGTTCCAGGTCCTGGGGCATCTGATCTTCATTCAAAGATAGATTACTAAGATAAACTTCAGAAACAAACTCAGACTGTCCTTCAATTAAACTTTACATTAATATAGCATGACAGCAGGGAACTACCTAGGAGGTAAGTCTTAATAAATACAGACCCCCCATTAACAAAACCAGAATTTAATATTCACTGAAACATAATCTTTTTCTCTCTAAAATTACCGTCATTTTTACCAAATGTAACCAAATTAAGAGTAGTTTGTTTGCAAAATAAGTCTGGTCTCAGTAAACTTGGCCTGATGATTTATATAACTATAATTGATGATATAGATTTCTTATGTGTGTGTGTGAAATTTTGATAAGGAGTCTCATACTGAACTTTTAAAAGATCTCTCAGGGCTACGAAAGTCATACCAAGGGTTTATCACACATTTTGCCTAACAGATCTAGGTGAATTCCTCACTTTTCTTTTTTTTTTGGAAATTTTTAATTTAATTTAATTTTTTTATACAGCAGGTTCTTATTAATCATCAATTGTATACACATCAGTGTATACATGTCAATCCCAATTGCCCAATTCATCACACCACCACCACCACCACCACCCCGTGGCTTTCCCCCCTTGGTGTCCATACTTTTGTTCTCTACATCTGTGTCTCAATTTCTGCCCTGCAAACCAGTTCATCTGTACCATTTT